CGCCGGAGGCATTTGGGAAAAGAGCGAGAAACTAGGGGCGCGTTTCCTCGAAAGTGCCCTGGATCGCGGGGCCGGTTTACTCTCGAGGAACTCTAGGATCGCAATAGGGTGGTGGTGGGGAAACGCTCCCGTGGGCGAGAGATTTGCAGGATTGCCGAGCGCCCCTCCTCCTCCTCCTCCTCCTCCTCGGGGGAAACCGTGACGAGGCGCGCCGCGCCGTTGCCGTCCGGTCTCTCTGGCGAGCCCCCCTCCCCTCCTGAAGGGAAATACCTCCGGCAGTCTCCTCCTTTCTCTTGTTAAAGGGTTGGCAGCGGCTGAAAGCGGAGAAGCGGCCTGGGAGTTGCTCCCTGCCTGCTTTGGAGCTGCAGGAAGGGGTGTGCGCCCGCCTCGGCCCGGAGCATTTTTCCAGATGTTTGAGTCGAAGTAGCGGGAAGAATCCGCAAGGTTCGGCAGCGGGGAGGGGGCGACGCAACTGGTGCGATATGTCGGCGCCCTTTACAGGGAGGCTGGCTTGCTGGATCAAGACTTCAAGTTCACTTCTTTTCGGCCAGACTTTTCCCCTACTTTCAGCAAAGAAAAGGGGTGTGGACGTGTCAGCCGCTTGTATTAGACTGAGTATAGGCCGCACTGTTATTTCTGCACACGCGCGTTCTCCAGCTTATTGCGGTCTACACAAGAAAGTACTTTTTACTGCTTTTTGATCACAAAGCAGAAAAGAAGAAGCGCTGAGATCCCTAGAAACAGTGGATCCCTGCAGGCGCGTGGGGGGGGGGGAGAGGGAAAGAATGGTATAGCAAGAATCTTGCATCCTGTTCGTGAGCTGCTTGGGTGTTTGCCAAGCTAGCACTGGAGAACCTCTCTGTTCAGAAGCAGTCTACCTTTAAATGCCAAATGCTGTGCACAGACCACAGGAGAAGGCTGGTGCATTTATTCATGCCCTAAAGAGCTTAATTCAGTGGCCCGTGCTACAGATAGGATGCTGGAGGAAACTTGGTTTGATCCAGCAAAAGGGACTCTTGCCTTGGGGTGATCCTGGACAACCTTACCGGTTTAAAAGCTCAACCAGTGAGTTTGCACATTATGGGAGAAGGATAACTGGAGTTATTTTGAGCAGGCCATCAGTGTCTTTGGAAAACAGAACTGAGAGTTTGCTGCATTAATTTCTCAAAGTTCTGGTATGACTCTCCATATATATGTGTGTGAGATGGTTGGACAGTGTTCTCGAAGCTACGAACATGAGTTTGACCAAACTGCGGGAGGCAGTGGAAGACAGGAGTGCCTGGCGTGCTCTGGTCCATGGGGTCACGAAGAGTCGGACACAACTAAACAACAAATATTTTCTACATCAGTGGAAGATCATGCCAGTCTTTTCACTGGACAGACACAGAAATGATACGCACTGGGTTTTCCTTCAGAACAATCAGTATGCAATAACAGAAAGGGGTGTGGTCTAGGGTTGGGAGAGGTGTTGCGGGCTGACTTTTAACGGTGTTCCGACTAGCTAGTTTCACTTCCCTGCTGGCCATAGTTCATGAGCTGCCTTTATGCCTCAAATGCTAAAATGTTGGGCCGTGTTAAACAGACCTGCTAAATTTAGGACGTGTGTGGGCTGCGTCTCTTTAGGCTTAGATGAATGCACAAACCTGCCCAGTTCATCATCTGATTCTGGGGTAGGCCTGCTATTATTTAAGACACATCAGCCAAGCTGCTAGACCACAACGTTTACTATGTCTTAAAATAAGAGCCGAACAGGAAACTCCTGACTCCACCCAGATGCTTTAATTAAGCCCAGTGCCACCTAGTGACTAAACTATATGATGGCACATACACAAACATACCTGCCTAACCTGTGACCCACCAATCGTAGCACAACACACCAGCCATTATTTGTGGCTTATGGGCTTATAGAAATTAGAAGGGAACTTGGTGTTCATCTACTCCAACCTTGCTCAAGGCAGGATCTGAGATCTTATGATGAAGGGCAAGGCAGACATTTCTTGTGTATTTCCATAGCCTGATTGGGAATGGCAGAAGCCAAAAAATCTATATGGCCATTATATACAGTCAGCAGAACCAAGCGATAAAGCTTTTTGCAGGACTGTGAAACTTAATGCACTGCAGGTAGTACGGTGGCGTTTCTGAATTCCTCCTGAGAAAACCCTCCTGCACTTAGACAACTAGCTCAGAAGGGAAGGCTAGGCTGAACACAGCTGTTTTTCTAGGCTTAGAGCGCTACCATCAAATAACATTCATTCTTCACCCACTGCCTGAAATGGTGCAGCCCCATGAAAAGCTTCACCGTTTGTTTCTGCTCAGTGTATAAACTGGCTCCCAGTCAACGTTCCTCCCCTCTGTCAGAATTCACTCTGCACCAGCTCACACGAGCCTGGTGTTAATCCCTTTATTGAGAGGCCTACAATAGCCAGATTATATCATAATTTGTATTTAACAGGGTTCGTCCATCATGCCACTGATTGCATAGTCCCCAAAAAGTTTCTGCAGGAAATCTCGCACTTAGTAGGCAACAGCTTATTTGCTAAAATGTTCCTTATCCTACAGGGATGCAGCCCTACAGTTCCTAATTGTTGTTTCCCCGTTGGCTATTTAATTGCAGAAGGTTCAGTGGGTGGGTGCCAGTTGACTTGACTGCGTGCCTAAATCGTCGAGAGATGCACTGTGATAACTGCGTGCAACATTAATGTCTCGCAACCAATGAAACTGATCTGTAGAAAACACAGCTTGAAAAAAGAGACAGCGCATGTATTTTTGTAAACTAGGAAATCTTTAATAATAATATAAAAAGAGATGCAGTGTGAGATTATAGTTAACCGGCAGAAACTGTGGTGGGCAATATTGTCAGACTTCCCGCCCTTCAACACCCCAGGCAGAAATACTTGGATAGTGAACATATCATGAGTGTTTTATTTAAAATGTGTTTTAACCTTTCCAGCAGCTCCTAGTGACCACCACCGACAATAAACAACATATATGCTTTCCTTTCAGAGGCTCTCAGGGTGACTTACACATAAGAGCTATAAAAGCAAAATGACTTTTCATGTTAAATGCTACACCTACACCTACAAACAGGTATTCCCTTTACAACGAGCCAACTAGAGGAACACGTATTTTAACTGGTCTTCAAATCTTTGCAATAGAAATGGTCTGGTGTGGTTCCCTGTGAATAGAATTCTCTAAGAAAGGTGCCACCACTAAGAAAGCCCCGCTCTTTGCAGCAGCCATTGGCCTCTAATGCAGAAATCTGAAGGGTTTCACTTGCATCTTTGGGAAGCGTTAGAACATGGCCATAGGAATAAATGTTTCTTGAGCATAGGCTGCTTAAGAATGATTCTCTCCCTAAAGCAGCCTTCCCCTACCTCGTGCCCTCCAGATCCTGTTAGACTACAGTTCCCATCATCCCTGATCACTGGCCGTGCCTACTGGGGCTGATGGGAGTTGGAGTCCAACTAAGCATCTGGAAGGCACTAGGCTGTCGTCCCAAGAACATGGTCAGGGCCATCTCTGCTTATTGGCAACAGCTTGGCTGCTTTACACCCCAATCCCTCTCAAATAACTGCAAGATGAGGTAGTGCCAGAGCTGTCCTGGAGTCCAGGAACGTCTTCTTCCCTCTGGGCAAACTTGAAAACTCGTTGGGGCATGCCCCAGTCTTTCCTGTCCATGTGAACAGTGGGTGTGTTGACTGCATCTCATAGCTCTCCCATTTGGTTTCTGATATGCGATACACATGTCTTGAGTTGTGTCAAAGTGTTTCTCAATGGCTCCCATATCTGGATTCTTTGAAACCCTGTTCGGCTCCCTTTTCATTTGCGGACACTTCATTTCAAGTGTCACTTAAGGAACTGGCTGCAAATCATAAGAAGGAGTGTTGACTTCTCTTGGGTTGGGGCTGGGGATGAGGTCACTAGCAAGGGAGAGAAAGAGTAAGATGAGCAGGGCAGCTGCTTGAGAGCAAGTGGGGAAACTGCGTTGTCCTGAGGTTGAGGAGATGGGAACAGCTGCCCGGTCTATGCAATTAAGTGTCTCCATGGGGCAGCTGACTCTCTTGTCTTCAAAACCATGTTGTGCTCTTCCATTTTTTCCTCCTTTTGGTTAATGCACCAAGTACAAGCTGCAAATTTAAGAGAACCAAAACATTTTGCCTTTAAACCAGCAAAGGGATTTTTAAAAAATCATTTGAGATTGAGGTGGACTGGCCTTAACTCTTGCCAAGGGCAGAATGTAGCAGGAAGCTGCCAAATGCTGGGAAAGTCAGAAGGCCTAATGGGAAAGTCCTGTGTGGGAAACAGGGTATCTTGGAGCATTTCTTTGTGATGGGATTTTATGCTGGAGAGATTTGGCAGGCTCCAGAGTAGGCTGGTTCCAGTCTTGCCACATGTAGAAGATGCCCATGGACTCATCAGTAAATTCTGTCTCCGCATGCGTCCAAGCGGAAGCTTTCAGTGATGTCGTTTGAGGCCTTGGCTCTGCCTTCCCACAACTTGGTGCCCTGCAGATGTCGTTGGACTACAAATCCCATCATTCCTGTGCAGTGGCCGTCCTAACTGGGGATGATTGGAGTTGGGCACCAAGTGTGTTTGTTTATTTATAAAATATTGACACGCCTATATCATAAAATATTTTTTGGGAGATTATTAAAAGGGCTGGTGGCAAAGCACAATTAGAAGCAATAGAGACAGTCATTAAAGTGACCAGCAAATTAAACAGCTGCAAAGGGACTCCTGAAAATCTGAAAGGAGGGTGCCCGCTGCCTCTCTGCTGGAAGTGTGTTCCACAGCTTGGGTCTGGCGACACGAAATACTTATAGAACTCACTCTCATAGAGTGATAGAGTTGGAAGGAATCCTGAGGATCATCTAGTCCAACCCCCTGCAATGTAGGAATATGCAGTTTTTGTTTACAACACCGTATAGGGATTGGACCTTGGTATTATCAGCACCGTGCCCTAACCAACTGAGCTATGTCTTGTAGTGGAGGCCAGTTGGGCATTGGGACAGCTCAGTCGGTAGAGCACGAGACTCTTAATTTCAGGGTTGTGGGTTTGAGCCCCACGTCGGGCAAAAGATCATTGCGGGGGGTTGGACCACTAGATGAAGCTTGTGTCCCCTTCCAACTTTGCGATTCTGTGAATCACGATTCTGTGAATCTCAGCGATTCAACTGGGAGGTTACAGGGAAGGACTGCATTGGAGGAGGTCAGGAAGGGTCTTGCATGATGTTGGGACACCCCCACCAGGCGGTGATAGGCTTCCTGTTGCGTTTTGTTTTGGGGGTCAGCTTTGAAGCCCATTGGAAGTTGATGGGTGTTGTTGGCAAACTTGGATTGCTCAGTCAGCAAGAACCTTGGAAATGGGCCCCAAGGTTGGTTTGGGGTGGGCTGTGTTGACCTTCTCAATACCTCTGTTTACTTTGAGGGGAATGTCGGTGGCAGACTCGTTTTGCTGGACTGCTCTCTCAGCCTTCGTAGAGTCCAGAGTGTTGTGGAAGTACCAGTAGAACAAGATATTTGCAATCCTTGGAGGGTAAAGTTTTATCTCTCTCTGTGTGGTTGGTTGGTGGCAAGGTGGGAACGGAGACCATGCCTAGGCCACTTGAAATATGCTAACGAAAGTAAAATCATAACATGCAACGGAAAAAAATGCATACCATTTATTGTTGAGCGTGTGCACATGTGCTGACGTTCAAAAGAAACATATATATGGCACATGCCTCCATCCAGTGTTTGAGATACTGGGGCAAAGTGTCCTATCTAGGATTTTGCATTTTGTTTCTATATTCTTGTATTGCTAGGACTCTCTCTTTTTTTGCCTGCTTGTACAATTCCCGGGGATTCTGGGCTGCCCTTTCCCAAATCAGCTTCTCCTTTAATAAAGTACCGCTTTATTAAGTGGCTAGAAGGGGTCTTTTATTTTTTTGCTCCCCCCTCCTGTGCTGTGCCTCTGGTTGCCCCTGCGAAAAATGGGCGGTCTCTCTCGCCTGTGTGAGTGTGTGTGTAGCTGGAGCTCAGAAAGGAGGCGGGTGACTCCAGGCTGAATCCTGGAGTTGCTTCCTGTGCAAGCGGGAGGGAGGGAGGGATGGAGGCGGCACAGCAGAGCAGGCAGAGATGATGAACGGGGATGCTTGTCTCTGGCCACAGTGACAGAAGAAAAGAGGACAAACCTCTGGCAGGAGGAGGGTGTGTGTGTGTGTGTGTGTTCGTGTGTGTTCGTGCGTGTATGTGTGCACACCAAGGGGCTCCCTTGCTGAAGACACCGCCATGGCATGGGTTCCATCGCCAGGTTTCCTTTTGTTCTGCTCCAGCTGCAAACGGTCCGCGTTGACCAGCCGGGGCCAGGGGCCTTGAGGTAACACAAAAGCAGAGGTGAGGGGGGTTAGACGGAGATGTTCTAAGGGGCGGGGTGCGCGCGTGTGTGTGTCTGCTAGCCTGTGAGCGAACCGTAGCCATGCTGAAAGCTCTGTGTAGCAGACCATCCCCTCCCCAGTTGCTTTGCAAATTCGAAAAGGAATGCTCCAGCGTCGCTCTTATTTTTATTTTTGAAACGCAGCCTTGGAACAGCTATTTTGGCTACTGAGAATTCTGTCCCCTTTCCATCTCCTGCGCTGTGGGTTTCTTTTCTCCTGTAATGTGTCCCCCCCGCCCTTTAGATCCTCTTCTCTCTTTCTCCTCTGCCGCTCCCAAAATAAAGCTTTCACGGCTCCAAAGTGCACACAGGGAAGAAGTTGGGGCCTGGCCTGTATTTTGCCATTTATTGCCCCAGAGGGAGGAGGAGATTTTTCCAGGTCTTTGGATCCAGGTTTTTAATATATGCTCCGTGCTTGCTTGCAAGAATGCATGCATGCACAACCCCCCCTATACACACACACACAAAATGCCCCTTTGCCACCACCTTTACATGTTCTCCGCAAAAGATCCTGCCCTGTTTCCACCTCTCCCACTTGCCTGCTCTTCTCTGATGGCACTCTTCCTTTCCATAGGTCCTGATCCATTCCACGGCAGGATGGCCTCGTCGGGGGCCCCGGGGACCCGCATGACATCCACAGTCAGCATAAACATCTCCACCCCGAGCTTCTACAGCCCTCAGAAGAAATTTGCACCCGTTGTTGCCCCTAAGCCCAAAGTGAACCCCTTCAAGGCTGGCGGATCGGCTCCGGAAAATGCTTCTGAGCAGACGTTTCCGTCTCCTCCTCCGGGGGCTTGTGCCCAGATAGGGAAAGTGGGGGAGATCCCGGCAGCTGTGACTCTTTCCCTCTGTGAAGGTAAGTGCTGCTTCAGTTCCACTTGGGACTGGAAAAAAGACAAAGTTGTGCCCTAGACCAGTGTCGGAAAGACAGAGGTTCTCCTCAGGATTCTAGTTAGTTTGTGCCTGCTGGACCAGCTCAGTCCTGCATGAAGCCCTTAATCTTAAGGTTGTGGGTTCGAGCCCCATATTGGGCAAAATATTCCTGCACTGCAGGGGGTTGGACTTGATGACCCTCAAGGTCCCTTCCAACTCTTACGATTCTGTGAAATGGGTGTTTGTGCAGAATTCTGGTCCTGCTCAGTATAAACAAATGCAATGATCCCTGTGTTATGTGGGGCTGTCAGAATGCTTTTGCCCCCGGGAGGGATTAAAAAGCACTTGCAGTGAAGGGATTCATCTTCTTGTGCCCTGGTAATTGACTTGAACTGAATTGTAATTGGGCCTTCTAGAATGCCACACGGCTCAGTGGAGCCGCTCGCGATTTGTGTGAGGAGTTCTTCGGCTGCATAAAAGTTCCTTGTTAGCAATAAGGACTAGCTTTTTGGCCTGGAACTCAAATAAGTACCCTTAAGCAAGCGAGCCAAACTGTTTTTCGCCTGGGTGTGGCCTCCTCTTGCAGCAATGGAAGTGTGCAGGTACAGGCAGGAACTAGGCAATGATGTAGAATTTAGTCCCAGCATAAATTAGCTTTACCAGGCTTCATATGTATTTATTTTTGGCACTCTGTGTTAGATTGCTATCAAGGGACATAGAGACAAGGCTTAATTTTTAACGTGGGAGGCGTCGGGGCAGAGGCCTGTATGTAGGATCCCTGAAGGAAGCCCTGTTACTTAATTTTAAATGTGAGGGTAGATTGCAGTGGCTCACCATGAGGTGGAAGGCTCTCTGTACATGTTCAGAGGTACTACTTGTTTTAGAATTTATATTTGAAAATGGTGGAGGGACTTAAGTCCTGTGGGATATTTTCCCACTTAACTCTGCTCCCCTTAAATGTGTAATGCCACATCTGCATTACACAGTTAAAGCAAACTGTTTTATCCCTTTAAGCAGTTGTGGTTTCTCCCAAAGAATCCTGGAAACTGTAGTTAACTGTTAAGGGTGCTGAGAGTTTTCAGGAAACTCCATATTCCCCTCACAATTCCAGAGTAGTTTAAAAATGGATTCCTCCTCCCTGGGAACTCGGGGAATTGTAGCTCTGTGGCAGTTATCAAATGACAGTTCCCAGGATCCTTTGGGAGGAAGCCATGACTGTTTAAAGTAGCAGGATGCTGCTTTATATGTATGGGGCAGATGTGACCTTAGATTTGGACAAAGTGTTTAGTTGGTCTGTCTTTTTGCCTGTGTGTTTTTAAAAATTGCATTTAACCAGAAAGAGAGAGAGAGAGAGAGAGAGAGTCTTCTTTGTTCTTTCGCTCCCAGAGCTCCCAAAGACATAGCTTTAATATTTTCACCCTGTTACAGCTGGCCGCTATTCAAGGACTCCACGGTGTCCTTGACTTCACAGCAGAGCTGTCAGAATGTTACAGCACTTCCCTCTCAAGATATAAAGAGGAAGCGTGCATACATTTTTAAAAAACCTCCTTTGAGGTAAACCCAAGAAAATGTGTCTCAGATAAAAGCCCTGTGTCTCCGTCTGCCCAGCTATGAGGAAATTATTTTGAGGTCCTGGAGCCATTTTCAAGGCCGGATCCCAACTTTGCATTACACTGACATCACACTGGAGCCAATTGTTCTTGCGATGTTGTGGTCCATTTGGAACTATAGTCCAAAACATCTCAAGGGCACCAGGTTGTGGAAGACTGATATCAGAGAATAATCGTGTTGCTTGTGGCTTCATAAGTTTACCTAGTCCCTTAACTGAATTTTAGCAGCCTGATCATTGAACTTCAGCTAGCATTGAGATTGACTTCTCCATGACAGAAAGTGAACTTCCTTCTTTCTAGCCCAGTAGTTCCACAATTTTCCCCACCCCAGGGCAGTTTTTCTGCCTGCTGTAATTGTAACGCGCCGTGCTAGATGCTGTGTGATTTTAAAATGGTATTTTGTAATCACTTCTTTCATTTCATATTTATCTATTGCGTTACAACTTGCATTCCGTGGAATTCAGATCATAATGCAATACAGTGGTACCTCAGGTTACATATGCTTCAGGTTACAGACTCCCCTAACCCAGAAATAGTGCTTCAGGCTAAGAACTTTGCTTCAGGATGAGAACAGAAATCGTGCTCTGGCGGCAGCAGGAGGCCCCATTAGCTAAAGTGGTGCTTCAGGTTAAGAACAGTTTCAGGTTAAGAACGGATCTCGGGAACGAATTAAGTACTTAACCCGAGGTACCACTGTAATAAAATACAGTGCAAGTAATAAAAGAAGCGAAAACAATACAGTCAAAATCGTTAAGAAGGTTTAATGCAACGGAGCCTCATTTGCAGCTACCCCGTCCACAGACACCCAGGCAGCACCTGAATGAAGCTTGCGAACCGCTGGTGGCTTGCAGACCACACTTAGGGAAGCCCTCCTCTTTCTTGCTGTGCCAATTTTCCAGCAATGGCTGTTACTTCAGAGTAGGTTGCTCCTAGCTTTTTTTTTTAACCATCCAGATACTTCTTCGAGTGCCGTTCTGCAGGGCTCACGTACGCAGAGTAGCTCTGAGCTTTCCAGCTTTGGGGACCCCAGATGTTCTTGAACGCCCATCATCCCTGACCATTGGCTAAGCTGGCTGGGGATTATGGGAGTTTTACTCCCAACAGAGAGAGTAACAGAGAGAGCCAGTGTGGTGTAGTGGTTAAGAACGGTAGTCTCGTAATCTGGGGAACCGGGTTC